ACGCGATCGATGCGCATGTTTTCGACGGCCGATCGCGACCTAAGCGTTGCCGTATCGAAATTTGAACGCTGCCTAAGCGACAACTATCATGCTCCTGCGGTGCCGTTATCGGGGAAATTTTCTGTGAAAGTCACATGGACTACACCAGCTCTGACAAAGTGCAGCGAGTGGTCGTGGCTGAATTTTATTTTTTTTTGTACACACTGGAAGGGATTTCTGTGAGACACCACGGTTGGTTACGAGAGCTGGTTTCCTTGCGTAAACCATACACACAACCATAATCTTCTCAGGAACTTTCAGGGAGAAAAGAGACTTTCTTAGCCAGAAGCAGATGTGCAGGGAAAAGAGATTTCACTGTGTCATCGGTGGGACTCCGAAGCTGTATCGCTGGATACTTATACAGCAGTGACCGCCCAGTCTACTGTAATCACTTTCAAAACATGGGTCACGTCACGCTTGATTTCGTTCAGAAACACTCAATTTCTTTGTACTCCTCGTCAACGCGATGTTCGCACGTGGCGATGCGACTACGTCAGGTTAGATGGATCTCGATCAGAGAATGAGACCGCGCCCAGCTTATTCAGCAAGCATATTGTTCTAGCTTTAACTACCACCTCCTCTGATCCCCAGTACTTTAGGCAGCGTTCAGACTTTGCGACGGCAGCGTTTCGGTCGCGCGTTCGACGCGATCGATGCAGTCGAAAGCCACATCGATCGCGCCCAACGCGCGACCGAAGGCTACCGTCGCGAAGTCTGAACGCTGCCTTAGAAATTGAAAATTTCATTAATGAACGTCTACTCCAGTATGAGGTCCACATCTTCTCTTCATCGTAGTTGCCGTAGTTCTTTAAGAATGGAATCGTGAAGTTGAGAGAGACGTGGGCGCTCGCCTTAGTTATTTGGCGATTACCTTGCAGATTGGAGCTGTCGCTTGAGGAAGGAAAATTCAGTCAGAAATTAAGGCCAGTGTCGAAGGACTTCCGTTCCAACATACCAGCTTTTGGGAGGGTGTGCTGGGGATGCGAGGAAAGGCGTAGTGGCCTTTGGAAAGTTCTTTATTTTTTCATTCAGAAGAGCGCTTTTGCCAGCCGATCGTTGTCATCAGCCAGTTTGCGGCAGTTTCCTTCAGCAGAGAACGAGGTAGAGGGTTGTTAGACCCATCCGAATCTGTAGACTTTCATTCTATTGCACTCCAAGAAAACATCTTCATTGAAATAAACATCAAAAACAACAAATTCACAGAATCCAAAATGACATATCCGGCACTCAATAAAGCTCACCGCTCAACATAACAGACAACTCTCATGATACCGGTATAGAATTATAACACCGGAAACAACTCAAAAGAGGTTTACGCCGGAAGTCAAAAATTTGCCAGATTTAAGAAACTCGATGATAGATAAAAAGTGCGAAAGTAGGAAGTACAGATCTGGCATTGATAAAGCACAGTGACCTGCGCAAAGGATAAAATGATAAAACAGAAGGAAAACAACAACCAAATGAAAATTGGTGCTTTAGCTGAACCTCCAGAAGCTTCATAAATCTAATCAAAAACGAACGACCCACGAAGTAGTGTTCATTCCTGGTCACCTAAAATAATACAGTATTGATTGGTCAAGTAAAACCAAACTAGTTATGCAGTTCAAGAACAGTCAAGATAACCATTGTAGGTTGAAGAGCTGTCCACGCTGTCGAGATCCTTCGTTAGTTCCATATAATATGCGAAATATTCCTTCTAAACAGAAAAAAATACCTTAGCTTTCATTCAATTCGGTAGCGTTCATGCTTCGCGACCGAAGCGCTACCTTCGCGGAGCCTGAACGCTGCCTCGTTGACGGGTTGAAAGAGGTGGTTGCTAGACAGATGCTGATTAAAGCAGCGTTCAGACTTCGCAATGACGCGCCTCGACGCGCTACTATTGAAACCACACTTTGATGCTGTAGGCGGGAACGCTGCCAGTGACAAGTAGCGATCAGCATCGGACTACCGGTTTACGAGGGTATGGGAGAATTAGAGTGCACGCTTCGCCTGGTCACTTAGTCTGGCACCTAATTCATATTTTCCTAATCTTCTGTACTATGCCAAAACCCTGGCCGTCTACGCCGATCGATGGCAGACTGAGTCGTTAGTTTGAATGCCCTCCTATTTCCCTATCCTCTCTCAAAGCAGTTGCTGCCAGCGCGGTTCAATCCCCGTCTACGATTGATTCCAATGTACCGGGTTGAGGCGCAGTTTTAATGGCAGCGCGCCGACGCGCGACACTGCGAAGTCTGAACACCTTAATGAAAGATGCAGGGAGCTTGTAAGTATGCAAGAGAGCGCGGATGCCGCAGAATAATGACGATATAATTTTTATAATCTCTCTGCTCTAAAAGGCAAGTGTCCACATCGATACGTAGCCCTTGAAGTGCTCACTTATGTTCACTACATTCGCCGTAGATGAGGACGAGTGGTTACGTTCTTCATGGCTCTCAGCGTGGCGTAAGATGAGTGTCCAGTGTGATATATCTATTTGAGACAAACATCCTACTCTCTTGTGCTGCAGAGTCTTGATTACAATTTTCGGAAAAGAAAATCTACCACGTAAGCGCAGCTGCCTCCATGTTTAAATGAACTACGCATCCACTTCCTCCTCATTTACGAGAAATTAATGCGTGTATACGTGAAAAAACCCCAACAAAACGAAGCAAATATTTTAGCATATAGATCGTAGAGTTACAAAATGAAAGTTAGACGCACCTGAGGAGGAGACGGACGATCGAATCTGAAGCTCGGCAAGCTATCATCAGATAGCTCCCCATCCTCTGGAAATATTTTCTCATTTATATTCCTAGTGAAGGAAGTGAGTCAAAAGTTTTTGAATATGGTCGTGTGATACAATCACGTTTCCGTGCATTTTTCATGTCAGGTTAATCAATGCGTCTTCCTAGTCGAATAACTCGTCCGGATCACTGAAGTGCTGGTTGTTCGTAATTGATGGCTCACTAAAGCCATAAACTTCAGGTGCTCTTGCCTTTCAAGAAAGGCGACATCAATGATCAGTGAGGAACAGTCAGTAATACTTAGGGATGAGGACGAGTTGTATTATCTGGAAGAAGGGATTGGTGTCAAAACTAATTGGTGGCAATGTGATGGGCCATAGCATATATATACACACCCATAACAGATAATCACTTACCCTTCTCATCGTGATCCTCCTTCACCTCCTGCTCAACTGTTTCCTAAACAATAAACATGAAGCGATAAGTAACAGCTAAGAAAAAAAATAATGTTCAAAGAAAAGAGGCGCGATTGGTGGTCGTTAAGACTGGAGTTCTAAAATGAAAGTGTGGGCTGTCAGGGATGCAGTCAGATAAAAAGCGAAGAAGCGGTAAAAAGGCGAAGGAAGACCTCATGACTGGACGAGTTTTCCAGGGCAATTCCGGAAAACAGGTACTGGGCCGCCTGTGCGCTGGCCCCGGCTCACGCCTTTTCTTCCAATCCTCCAGCACCAAAGCTGTATAGTATGTGGGGAACAGTGAAGAAATGTCGCAGTCGCAAAGCTTCTAGCTGAACAAAGCCTCGGATTTTTCTCGCGGAAAAGTGACATTACCGTACTCTAACGAAGTATCGCACCAATAAAACTACACCATTGTGATTTGGATCAGTCTCAAGGGGCACCTTATTTCACTTTTCAGTGCATTTGCCTCTTAGAAAAGGGCATTCAAGGCATGCAGCGTTATATCCCGCATAGAGATGGAAGGTGACAGAGACCACCAGCTGCTACCACACAGATTAAAACGCAACTGTATTTACAGATACGACCACTAATATATCCCATTGTGAGAGAGGCGACTACCATACTTTGAGCGCATTCTGTGACGGCCGTACCGCTCTCTTCACTTATAGTGGAGTAGCGAAAATGGGACGGTCTTAGGGATCTTGTACCGGACCACAAGGGCAAAGGAAACCTGACAAGTTGGTCGAACGCGTGTTGTCTTCAAAAAAATTCCAATGCAAAACTGAAATACAGTTAAAGCATGCCTCATCCTCTGGTGGATGCTCCTCTGGAACCTTTGTTTCTTCCTGATAATCCTCTGGTGGATGCTCCTCTGGAACGCCTGTTTCTTCCTGATAATCCTCTGGTGGATGCTCCTCTGGAACGCCTGTTTCTTCCTGATAATCCTCTGGTGGATGCTCCTCTGGAACGCCTGTTTCTTCCTGATAATCCTCTGGTGGATGCTCCTCTGGAACGCCTGCTTCTTCCTGATACTCGCCATTCCTATGATGAATCTCTTCGTTAGCAATGACATGTAATACTGGACCAACTTCACTCACTTACCCTGGCACTCAACGCCTTCTTCAATCACCTCCTAAACGATTATCATCAAGCGATACGCAGTAGGCAGCGTTCAGACTTCGCGACTACGGCGCTTCGGTCCGCATTCGACGCGATCGATGCAGTTAAAAGCATGCGCATCGATCGCGCCGAACGCGCGACCGAGGCGCTGCCGTCGCGAAGTCTGAACGCTATTCTAGAGAAGAATATTGCTGAGAATAAGAATGCGAAGCTAAGATAAAACTGCAGCGCACCTGAACAGTCAGAGGACGACCCGTTGTAAATATCGATGGTCTGACGTGATAGTGGGCCTTTGTAGGTTTCACTAGGAAGTGACTTCATTAGAATCAAGCAAAGGTTTGAGAAAGTGAAAGAAAATTTTCTTCGTACATGGTTTGCGCTTCAACATTGCGCGCCTCTTCTTGAGGCACAAGTAGCAACGGTGAAACTGAAATAAATCGTTATATATTGAAGAGATGTCTCGAATTTCACTCTACTAACCCCTTGAGTACCCATCAGCATCTCCAGGGATTAGGAAAGTGTGAATATAGACCAGCGTCTACAAGCGTCCCCTAGCGACCACTAGCACCCAGGAGTACGGTACTGTGCCGTATTACGGGGCGGTTGCACCCGCCGCAATTTCACGACGCCTAATTCCAGCTGTCCCCTCCCTCCTACTTCCCCATACTCTCTACTCCTGGTCGCTGGTGGACGCTGGTAGACGCTAGATCGATATCCATGCATTCCTAGTCCCTCTGGACCCTGATGGTAGTTACCGTGAATGCCATATATGACGTTTTTTTCCTACAGCTGTCAGTAGGTTTGCTAAGAATAGGGTTTGCTTGGGTTTGCCATAAACGTGTAGTTCCTGCAGCAGAAAATGATAGCCTTCCACAGGCCTTCCTACAGTGGGCCCAGGGCCAAGCTCATAGATAAGCGTACAATGTGTCTTGAACGCACAGCTGTCCATTTTAGTGGGAGTTCCTTTAAACGGCCTGTACTGGGTTGAATGCAATTTACCGACGAATCCGGTGCTTCGATTTGACGTCTGACTCTTTGCAAGAAGAGTACTTGCGCATTTCTCTTCATGGGCTCACGATCGCAGGAGTAGCCCATGGCCTTCAGAAGAAAATCGAAACCTAAAACAATGTTCATTCACTGAAATTATGGTTCTATTTATCCTACGAACAATGATTGTATTTCCAGGGCAAGAGGTGCTTCTAGTAGGCCTTCGCGTAATAGTTGCGAAACCATAGCTATGGGCGATACGACGCATAAAATCGCTCACAATGAATAAGGTAAAACTGAAGAGCAGGTACAAACAGGGCAAGGCAGGGATAGCCGAGTGGCTAACATAAGAGTGTAGGCTTATGTCTGCACCAATCTGGAAAGGATTCGGTTCCTGCCGAAGCAAAGACCATGCCTTGCAAATACTGCAAAGATAGTGCCGAAACCACCGTCAGCCCAAGTTCCACAGGCAGTGGGAATGACATTGCTCTGATAGAAAGTTGAGATGAACTTCAGAGAAATGCGCAAAAATGGCAGGAGCTACTGGCCGAGGGTGGCCTCTGGCTGAACGTCTAGCAGAGTGTCCCTGAGCTCCGAGGGTACACTAAGCCCATCAAGCTCAATGGAGAATATGTTGATCGGGTAGAGACATTCCGCTACCTGAGCCAATGACGTTTGTGTGGACCAGGCACTTAAAGGCAGTTGGCACGATGGTTTCCTACTTAGCCTAAAATGCTAGTAGGGCGCTGTATAGTGGGAAATGGCGAAAGAACGGAGTGAAACGGTCAAAATCCTGCGAAGAAAAAGCCTCCGTTCTCAGTGACTTGAAAATCGATTTCGGACGAGTTTCCCGTAGGCATCTTACCAATCACCGCTACCGAAGATACGGCTTATGTGTACCCATGTATGCATGCAGCATCACGGCCGCTTCTTCGCTTCATAATTTGCTTAGCAAATGAATGAATACGAGCGTCAGGAACGGTCGTCCATTTGTGGGCGGGCGGGCGTGGCGGGCGTTTGGGACGTAAAGTTGTGGCTTGATAGGGCCCTTATAAGGGCACCTTCCTCGGGGAAACCGCTATGCAGCGCCTGCCCAGGGTCGCGGAATTCTATCCTGCCAGGAGTATTGATCCTAGTCGTCCTTGGGGGATTTATCGTGCCAACTGCCTTCAAGGTCGAATGAATTCGGCTTGGGTAAATTCCAGGGAGTCTAGCAGTATTCTCTGCTATTGGCCATGCTCCAAGACCCTCAAAGGCAGATGTACAGGGCAGTTGCAATTCCGCCGATTCTCTGCGGCAGCTGGTGCTGACCCTTAGGCATGAACCATGAAAAAACAACTTCAGTCTGCTGAAATGAGGATGCTGAGATGGGTCTGAAAAGAATCAGAAATGA